GACAGAGCGTTTAGCTGGCATCAGTCTGCAAAACAAAATGGTTGGAAAGAGCGCGTGTGAACCGTAGATAGGAGGTACAGAGGCATTAGCAGACATTAACTGGCAAATCACAAGGGAACAGTTGTGGCTAAATGGCACAAAATTAAAAAAGAGAAGATAAGGACAGAGGAGAACGAACATCCGTTTCCACCTACCTTCCGGTCGCACCGCATCTCAAAGGGCTCCAGGTCAATCTTGCGGGTCGTACGTCCAGAACCGAACTTCATCTTGCAGGTCTGCTGGTCAAAAGGGAAGAAGGTGACGTCAATGGAGCAGGAGGACTTGTAATGGCTGGGGCACCCAGCGGACACGCCGCGTGTGAAACAGATGGGCCTTGGTCATGTGGGTGACAGCAAACTCTCCATCTGCACTGGAAAAAGAAGAAGAGAGTAAAAGTGTAGGAAAAGGCAAGATAATACTGAAAAGAAGTAAGGAATGAAGATAATGAAAATGAAGGTGATGATTTGTTTTGTTTTTTGTTGAACAAGGCTCCCATGTTTCCGTCTCATTATGTTTCAACTCAAAAGTAAACCAATAAACCTCGAGCTATGCCCAATTTACACAGGCAATCTTTATAATTGATTACTAACGACACCGTATACATGATGCAAGCTCATTTAAACAAATGCTGAAGGAGGAGAAAGTTTCGTCACCATCCAGACAGATTTCAGAATTAATACTTCCTCGGGGCCTGAGGGAAGGAAACCAGACTGAAACTATGTGATGCAAGATCTCTGTGCAGCCGCAATGGAATCAGGGTAATTTATTCAACAGGATAATTTGCATGTATCGCCAAATTGGTATGCAGGAATATGCAGAAATACTGTGGTATCGTGAAGCTGTTTGGCTCCATATAGGCGACCTTCCTTCCTCATACGCTCTTCAGCGGATGAGGACATTGTTATGGATCAAGCGGATAATTGATCACTCAAGATAATTTCCAGCTCCACCTACAGAAAGTCAAAGTCATTTTTGTTTAAATTCAGTATATGTGTGTGTGTGTGTGTGTTTGTGTGTGTGTGCGCTCATTTAAATCTGGAAAATGACAATAAACTTTTCTTTTACACAGCAGAGGTCAAGAAACAAGACTTAAAAATAGGACTTTCTTCAACTGAAGTGCTCTTTGCTTGCATACTTTAGTTTTAATCTTTGGATTGCAGAACATGCAAAATTCCCTAAGATCATATAACTAGTACTGCATGATGCAAAGACATTACCTCTTGGCCTTCACTTCACTTTGACATGCTTCTATTCTGAAAATGAATCTATTATGAAGTGTAACAATAAGGTGGATTTGTGCAACTGGAGCAAACTACAGTTGTTTGGTGTTAAATGTGCAACTGCGTGTGTTTCTTACTTGTTGTACAGCACAATATCTGGCACCCAGATGAGCTCAGAAGGAACTCTAATGGACGTCACATTGTCAAAGTCGGAGGGACTCCACTGAAGCTTGTAGTCAGTCCATTCCTGCTAGCACAGTTTGTGGATAATGTTTTCATTTTAGATACTAGTACAATTTGGTTAGAATCACACTCAAACAATTTTCTCCATACCTGTTTTAGCCACACGTTGGTCGTCATCATCTGATTTTTCTCATCCTGTTTTGGAGTAAAAAAACAGTCCGTGAGTGGCAGATACAGTTGTGTTCAGTGGTGTTAACTTTTAGACACTTGCTTATAAACTACAAAATATTTAGAAAACAACAATAAAAGTGTGTGTGTTCCCACCACGTCTATCAGCTGTGCGATCGAGAGGCCAAACTTGACGATGACCACATCGGTGATGTTTCGCGCCGGACGCGTCCACTTGCTGTAGCCTCCAAACAGGGTCCTGAATAGCTCGTCCTCAGTGTGAACACGTGTCCAGTCTTCAGCCAGCACTGGCAGAGAGAACGGGAGAGAGGGGAGATCACTTCTGGTGCAAAATGACTGCAGACATAATGATTTGGATTTCAGGGTCTTATAATCCAAAAACCTAATGATACAGCCACATCTTGAAGAACAAGGCCACTAAACTCTATTTGACATTTACTTTAGTTGAATACATCTCCAAACTACTGACATCTGAACCAAAATACATTTATTATCTACTTATTAACATTTACAACTGCAGACGTTATGAATTATAATATTAACTTGTCATCATTTGCTCACGTGAAATAGATAAGACTGAAGGTTAAGCCAATTTAATACTTCATTGTTTGATTTTTTAGTAAAATTACCTGGACTTCTTGTTGGATGATTATAAAAGACTTGAGTTGTATGTGTATGTTGATATATATGAATGATATATTTAGTGTCTTATAATCCATGTGGGTATCTCATTTGTTGCACATGGAACCCTGGAATACTTCAAATGTCATATCCACTCACCAGCCACTTTCTTAGGTACACCTTGCTAGTACCGGATTAGACCCCCTTTTGCTTTCAGAACTGCCTTAATTCCTCAGAGACTTTGGTCCATATTGACATGATAGCATCACACACTTGCTGCAGATTTGTTGGCTGCATCTCCATGATACAAATCTCCCATTCCACCACATCCCATAGGTGCTCTATTGGATTCACTGGTGACTGTGGAGGCCACTGGAGTACAGTGAACTCATTGTCATGTTCAAGAAACCAATTTGAGATGGTTTGAGCTTTGTGACATGGTGCATTATCCTGCTGGAAGTAGCCATCAGAAGATGGGTACACTGTGGTCATAAAGGGATGGACATGGTCAGCAACAATACTCAGGTAGGCTGTGGCGTTTAAACGATGCTCAGTTGGTACTAAGGGCCCCAAAGTGCCAAGAAAATATCCACCACACCATTACACTACCACCAGCAGCCTGAACCGTTGATACAAGGTAGAATGGATCCATGCTTTCATGTTGCTGATGCCAAATTCTGACCCTACCTAGCTGAAATCGAGACTCATCAGACCAGCCAACGCTTTTCAATCTTCTATTGTCCAGTGTTGGTGAGCCTGTGTGAATTGTAGCGTCAGTTTCCTGCTCTTAGCTGACAGGAGTGGCACCCAGTGTGGTCTTCTGCTGCTGTAGCCCATCTGCTTCAAGGTTCAACGTGTTGTGTGTTCAGAGATGGTATTTTACATACCTTGGTTGAATCGAGTGGTTATTTGAGTTACTGTTTCCTTTCTGTCATCTGGAACCAGTCTGCTCATTCTCCTTTGACATCAACAAGGAATTTTCCTCCTCACAACTGCCGCTTACTGTATATTTTCTCTTTTTCAGACCATTCTCTGTGTTCAGCTAGCTGAACTCTGTCCGTCTCAATATGATTGTTTTAGTCAACCTAGGGTCAGTGGTCGTGGTGGTGTGCTACTGAGCGTGACGTACGCTGTGATGAATTTAACTCCTTTGAAGTTCTCACTCTTAAAGTTGGAGGGCTGCAACCTATCATATTTGTTATAATTTATAGCCCACCCAAAACCGCCTGGAGGAACTTCCTGAATTTGTATCTACTCTGGTTTTAAATTATGACAGAATTGTTCTTTGTGGCGATTTTAATATTCATGTTGATGACCCCAACAATGTTAATGCAACTGACTTTTTAAATATGGCCACTTCTTTTAACTTCAAACAACATGTCAAAGGGCAAACACATAACCGTGGTCATACACTGGACTTGGTTTTTACCCTGGGTGTCAGCATCTCCTCTGTGGAATTAGTGGACATGACCATATCTGACCACAGATGTATTGTTTTTAGCTGTGATTTGTCTGTTACTCATGCCGCCTCACCAAGCTCCGTGTGTTTTCGCATCTTTAATGAACAAAGTGTTTCAAAGTTTTGCACATTCTTTCAGAGCCAAAGCCAACACCTGTCTGATTCCAACACCAACAATCTGGTCGATCACTTCAATCATATCTGCTTGTTGTCACTAAATATTACTGCTCCTCTAAAGGTTTGGCCTACGTCTAAAGCTAGTAAGCAACCCTGGATAAATGACAGCATTTGCAGCCAAAAAAGGGAATGCAGGAAAGCAGAGCGCAGATGTAAAAATTCCAGTCTCCAAGTCCATTACCTCAGTCTGAAAGATTTATTAATTAACTACAATAACATGGTTAAGGATGCGAGAACACACTATTTTTCTGAACTCATTACTACACATAAACACAATCCCAGGTTTCTGTTTAAGACTGTGGATCAGCTGGTAAACCCAACCCCTCCTTGTGCCTCTGCTGGAAGTAATGATGACTGTGAATTGTTTTTATCTTATTTTACCAATAAGGTGGTGTCAATCAGAGCCTCTATTACCCCCACGGCCTCTTACTCAGAGGTCCCTCACCAGCAACAAGACCGTTTTAACCAGTTTTATCCCATCGACTTGTCTGAGCTTTTAAAAACAGTATCACAAATGAGAGTGTCCTCCAGCCCACTTGATGTAATACCTACAAAGTTTTTACTGAAAGTAATAGATTCTGTTGGGCCCCATTTGATCTCTGTTTTTAACAGCTCCCTATCTACTGGTTGTGTCCCTGATTATTTTAAAACAGCTTCGTGAACCCGCTTTTAAAGAAACCTGGTTTAGATCCCTCCCTCCCACAAACTTTTAGACCAATTTCAAAACTGCCTTTTATTGCAAAGATTCTAGAAAGAATTGTGTCCAAACAATTGCTCACTGTACTGGAAAATAACAAATTACTTCAAAAGTTTCAATCTGGTTTCAGGAAGTACCACAGCACTGACCCCTGCTTCAAGTCACCAATGACCTTTTAATGTCTGCTGATGAAGGTATGTGCTGAGGCCTGGTACTCCTGGACCTTAGCGCTGCTTTTGACACCATTGATCACAACATCATGTTAGACAGACTGAGGCACTGGGTGGGGATCTCTGGTACGGCCCTAGAATGGTTTTCATCCTACCTGTCAAATAGGAAGTTTTGCGTGTCTGTAAACAACTGTCTCTTCGTTCTGTCCAGTTAAATATGGTGTGCCTCAGGGGTCGGTCTTAGGACCCATTTGTTTTCCTTGTATCTGCTTCCCTTGGACATATTATCCATAAACATGGTATTTCTTTTCATATTTATGCTCACACACAAATGTACTTGCCCGTCAGATCCACAGACCCTGGAATGCTGAGTTCACTTAACAACTGCCTTTGTGAAGTTAAAAAATGGATGTCAAATAATTTCCTCCAGCTGAACTCAGACAAAACAAAAATCCTGGTCATCGGGTCCCAGCAGATGGCAAAACAAATACTGCCATCTGCTGGTTCCCTAGTAAATCACATTAAGCCTGTTGCAAAGAACCTTGGTGTCTGGTTTGATAGTAATTTAAATTTCGAGCAGCACACCACAAAGCTTGTTCAATCATGTTTTTATCATCTAAGAAATATAGCAAAAATTCGATCTATGTTAATTTTTAAGGACACCAAGACCATTTTACACGCCTTCACCTCATCACGCCTGGATTATTGCAACAGCCTTTTCACTTGTTTAACCCAAAAATCTACTGATTGACTCCAGACTGTCCAGAACTCAGCTGCCAGGCTTTTAACCAGAAGAAAGAAATATGCCCACATCACCCCTATTTTAGCTTCATTACACTGGCTCCAAGTGTGTTTTAGAATTGACTTTAAAATTTTATTGATCACTTTTAAAGCTCTTCATGGCCTCTCGCCTTGTTATATTTCTGACCTTTTAGTCTCATACGCACCAGCACGTACCTTGAGATCCTCGGGCAGAGGTCTGTTGTCTGTTCCAGAGTCTCTACTGAAAACTAAAGGGGACAGAGTGTTTGCAGTCAGGGCCCCAAGGCTCTGAAACAGCCTGCCCGAGGAAATCAGGTTGGCTGAGTCAGAAGTCCCTTCTTAAAACATACTTTTATAGGAGAGCCTTTCCCGATCTTATTTGACTTTATTTTATCCCTTTTATTTTATTCTATTTTATTTATTATATTTATCTTAAACGTGTATTTTGGTCTTTTCAATGTTTTCTTGCTTGTATTGTTGTCTTTTGGGTATTGTATTGTTGTCTTTGCATTTGTTGAAGCACTTTGTAACTTGTTTTTGAAAAGTGCTCTACAAATAAAGATTATTATTATTATTATAATGAGCACCACAGACAGCACCTTCCACAGGGCACTGGGCCAGGTTACCTGACTAATTGTTTATAGACTGTTGGTGTGGTACTCAGTTGTTAGTCTTGAGTGATGTTGTGTTATGAACATTTGGCCAAGCATTAACTAAGAAGTATGTAGACCTATTTGATACATGCACCACTGCTAATGTAAAACTTCAAACGTCTTCTGATTGAGCTTGTGAATGCTTCTTTTATTCATAACCGTAGCCTATTTGTACTGTGCACTATAAGCAGCGGGCTATGTATGCTATTTGGGGTGAGAGAGAGTGACTGAGTGAGTTAGAAAGAGAGTGTAGGTGTAGGTAAATGCAACTTTCAGCGTGTGTATTGATAACAGATAGTGCGAATCTTTAAAGTATGATTAAATTTTGTGTAAAATTATACCCTGCACTGTAATAGCATAATAAATTAGATAATTGCCCTCCAAAAAGGACATCCCCTCTTGCTTGGCTTCCCCAAATGTTTGCCCCACCCCACGCCACTGGTAAACCCTAGAGATGGTTGTGTGTAAAAATCCCAGTAGATCAGCAGTTTCTGAAATACTCAGAGCAGCCCGTCTGGCACCAACTACCATGCCATGTTCAAAGTCACTTAAATCCCCTTTCTTCCCCATTCTGATGCTTGGTTTGAACTTCAGCCAGTTGTCTTGACCACGTCTACATGCCTAAATACATTGAGTTGCCGCCATGTGATTGGCTGATTAGCTATCTGTGTTAACAAGCAATTGAACAGGTGTACCTAATAAAGTGGCCAGTTAGTGTATGTAGTTATAACATCAAGATTGGTAAACTTTAACAGTGCTGGTAGGCAGATTTTGTTACCTTTGGACTGAGACAGGCGAGCTGTTTTACCGTTTCCAGTCTTTATGCTAAGCTAAGCTAACTGACTGCTGGCTATAGTGGTATCGATCCTGTCATGTCCTAAGTCTTGGCAAGAAAGCGAATAACTGGATTTCCCATAATGTCAAACTATGCCTTTCATGACTAACTATCCCAAACCTGTTCCTATGATTGGCTTATGACTGATCTATTAAGCATGACTAAATTATGTATTAACCATTAATAAAGTTTTAGTTAAAACATATTGCCTGCCTTATAACACAGTAGTACCAAGGTTGTCTTCATTTCCTCCATAACTTTTTCTGATAATAATTCTTTTAATAATCCAGCAAATCCAGCCAGTTTTAGTGTAACTTTATTTTGTTTTCATGTACTTCACTATTTTAATTATAGTGTCGATGTCAAGTCTTTTGTGGTGTTCTTCATGCTGCTTTTGATACAGTTGTCTATGATTTACTGTACCTCTTCACTTATCTCTCCTTCCAAGGTTTTAAATGGTTATTCTCCACTTTTACCCCTCATATTTCCTTCTTTTTACAACAGCAAAGCTATTGCAGCTGAGTGATACTGTATCCTCTCTCTGGAAAGAAGCAATTACCTGAACTTTATTGTTCATAAAATTTCACAGATTCAGATTGTGATCTGCTGCACTTTCATTTAATTTTATGTTAAACAGCAAAATCGTTCCGAGATAATTTAACTTTGTAAAAATCAACACTTAGCAAAGTTCTCCGGCACTCATCACTCATAGATTGATGCTTGAATAAACCTCTAATTCTGCGGTGTTCAACCTTTTGTGTCTGATGTGATTTGATTTATCTTGCAGGTTAAATGAACATGTGGAGGCCACATGTGGCTAAAATATCTTTTTCTTCTCCGGTTCACTTTAGGATCTCGCCTTCCCTCTGTCTCTCTGAACACACAGCTTTGAACTCTGGCAAGCAATCTGGCATCACCGGCAAGCAATTTAGGATTAGCCAGTGCAAGAACCAGCGAGCCAAGAGCACAAACTGTGCAAATGTATGTAATGCCAGTTTTTGTGATTATATTGGCTATTTATAACCGACAAAATTTTGTTTCAGGTGAGGCTCTGCCAATGGAGGAGAAACATGTTGTGGGATTACACAGCAGTTTGTGTCCCAGGATTCAACATCGGGACTTTTTCCAACACTAATTTCTGCATCCAAACTCCCTGTTTTATGACATTGACCCTGCTATATCTTATTTACAACAAAATAATCTTGTTAAACGCTTGAGGTATAGAAAAGTCCCTGTCCATACCAGCTCAACATGACATTTTACTTAATAATCAGTACTTAAAATGGGCTTCTAAAATTAGAATATGGTACATAGGCACTCACATTAATTGTGGGTTTTTTTTATGGAGGCATCAGCAGAACAATAATGGATATCTGAATTAGTTTGTATGGGCTTATTAATCAAAGGGGACTCTTCCTAGTCATGTCATCAACCATTATATGGGTTTTTTTTCTTTAGTGTTCAGTTTAATTAAGAAATGCAACACTGTTGCTTGTTCATCTTTAAAGTGACACCTAAACTGATTTTTGTGCCATCCAAAATGTTAATAGAGTTTCTGAATAATTTAAATAAAATATTTACACAATATATCAACAACATGATCATAACCACAATGCCTAAACATTGTTAAACTCTAATATGGAATTTTATTTTTAGACATTTGGGAAATGGAAAGAAGACAGATGAGTGAATGTAGTAAGTATTTAAGTCAAAATGTACATGTGTAATACCTACTGTATAATAAGTAAATCTACACAACTTTCATGTAAGTCTGAAAAGTGGCAGAGGCTTAGTGCTTTTAACCTACGTCATGCTTCAACATTGTGCATAAGAACTTATTTTTGTTCTATACTTTTTATTTTTATTATAAAGTCACTACAGAACCACAGAATTACTCTTTTAGGAAAAACACAAACACCAAATGAGTACCACGTTAAACATATTTCTTGATATACTCCTGAGTGGAATAGTATTGTCAAAGTTAGATTAATGCTACATGATTATGACTGTATGATCAATATAGTTCCAAACATTATAAAGTCACTACAATATCGCTATTAAGTGGCAGAATCACCTAATTAATCCTTTTATAAATATCACAGGAATAAACATTTCTCTTGAATTACTTCATATACCCAGGAGAGAAAGAGATGTACTACTATGGCGAATTGACCATAGACATGAAATATCGGCCCCTGATCAAATTAGTTCAATAAACCAGACAGCCAGTAGGTGATTTGAAGAGGATGAGGGGGTGGTGCTGTCTGTGGTGCTGAAGTAGCATAACATAATAATTCTAATATTCTCTAAACTATATCCTACAAAAAGTCAATACTATACCATGTTGTGTTACATTTATGAGCAAAGTCAAAAGTAGCATTATGTAGTCACGAAAGAGTGAGAGGATCATAGAGATACAGCTGTCTGTAGTATTCCTATAATATTCCTCTAGTATTTATGATCATTCAGCTGCTGAAACTACACCCCCAGACCAAGATACTCTAAATCTTCTAGGTTCTCATTTCCTATCCAGAAAGTGAACAGCATACCATGTGTGTTCATCCAGTTTCAATTTGAATTTCTTTCTAAACACAAATGGTGTTTTAAACAGGAACACTGTGATTCATATTAAACAATCAAAAATGAGATTTATTAAATGAATATGTCAAGTATGATCTTATATACAAACCACATTTGTTCTCAAGAAGTAACCATGTCAATATTTATCAATTAATCAATAGTAATTCTTAAGCCAAATCCAATCAATATTACTTCTACACCTCATCTCATACAAGGTCAGTGGGTTGAGTTTCTTGCCATTATTGGATGTAGGGTCTCCATCTGAAACGTAACTCTGTTTTTCTGTCATCTTAAGACCATTCCCTGCTCTCAGGAAAAACATGTTCAAATTCACACCTTTTTCTCTGCTAATGAGCCAAAACTGTAGTGTTTTTAATCAAATTAAAGGGTGTCAATTTAGTAGGAAGGGTAGCCAAATATCCAGCAACTACTGAATTCTCCCCAGCAATAATTGTGATTATAATAATCACTTAACCACTATTGTCCGTCAGCGTCTAGTCATTGTATCTGGTGCAGCTCTGGTCCACTTCCTACCTTTTTTAGACCCTCAGCGACTTTATTTATATTAAGAAAATGTTTTTATCGTTCCCACCATCAGGGACATGAAATAACCCTCCTTGTCCCAGTAACGTTACCACACATGCCATACCGCTAGAAGTAGAAATAGGATAAAGTTGTATAAAGTCCCCAAAAATAGGACAAAGTTACGACATCAATCTGTTTAGTGCTTCTTGTTAATTACAAGAACATCAGTGTTTTCCCGTCGCACCGTCTCACTCACCGGAGTTGATGAGGATCCAGCAGTACAGAGCTGAAGTCCGCGTCAAATCTCTCTTCCGTTCCATTTGAAACAACAGAATCACAACAGAGCCCAGTTTTATCAAAATGAAGCTCAGGCTGTCTCAGAAGTGTTCAGCCTTTATTTCCTCATTGTTCATCTCTAAACCAGCCTGTTCGTCTTCTAACAGCTGGATGGATCACAACCTCCCTCCATCATCACTATCTCCTGTCATCAGCATGCGATCACATCACAAGGTATTCCTATGGGGGCTGGGCTCAGGCTTTCACAGTGAGCCTGAGCCCAGCCCAACCAACCTAACGTATGGTTCAGGGATTCTTAATGTATGATAAGACTTCACAGCGATTATAAATCAATCAAAAACGTAACAAAATCTGTGACATGGTGTTTAATGACTGCCCAACTTTAACAGTGAGAGGGCGTAACGTCGACGACATAACTTAAAAACAGGGTTACGTTAAGTAACCCCACTTTTAGACGATTAGCCTAACACTTAACGTTAGTAAAAAAAAATCAGTACCACAATGTAAAAAAACTCCACTAAAAGTTAACCTCCTACATTCAAAGTCTCATTTAAATTAATGGAATTGTTTCCACATGTTGGAAAACACGCTTATTAGCGTTCTTCTTGCCGAGTGTTGATGGCCGGAAGATAAGGTTATAGGCCTAACTGTTACTGTCATGTCTGTAATGGAAGCTAGCTATGAAGCTTATGCTACCGCAACAAAGACTGGAAACCGAGGAAAGAGGTAGCCTGGCCTTCAAACATTGCAAAAGCTTATCAATAACCATTTTATCAATTGTTTATTAACTCGTACAAAAAAAGTGTAAAAACTACAAAAAAGCTAGCCATTTCGTTGGGCTATGTAGTTACCAGGCAACCAGAGGATACTTCAGGAAGTAACGTAGCTAGTCCAGATCAGGTAAAGAAGTCCCCCATCTTTACTGCAGTCCCGAGTGTTTTTAACACTGCCTCGAAAAACTTTGTGCCAGTTTTTCCATTAAAAAGAATTACGTAATAATTACTAACCATCAACTTTTCTTCAGTGTCCTCCTTAGCCTAATGCGTAAGCAAAAGAGGCTGGAGCTGTCCATGTTGCTGAAATCAATTACTGCAACTGAACAAACAAAGTCTGATTATCCACTTTACATCCAGTTACATCCTTAAAAGCTTTAAGGATGGGTGAAATTGTTACAGTGCGGTGTGATGTGGGGACAGAGAGGACCCAAATGCAGCGTTCAGATAGGCAGGTTTTATTGGGGCAAAAAGGGGTTGAGGACTGGAGTTGAGGGTGAGGTGGATGCCGGGGAAACGCAGGCACGGGGAACTGAGGAGACAGAAACCAGAGAGCCAGGGGACACTGGGGCCGAGGAAGCGAGGAGGCACTGGAGAACTGGGAGGACGCCGTAGGGGTAGTCCGAGGGAAAGGGGCAGGTGAGCAAGCCCAGCTGACTGACTTTAGACGAGGGTGAGCAAAACTGGGGAGAGACAGACAGACAAAAAGGGTCAGACACAGCAGAGACAAAGTACAGGGAAATAGAAAGGATGCGAACATACGTGTGAGCCTGAATGTTGAGGTGGCACCGGGTAAGGAGCGACGACGATCAAGCAGGAGTTGACTGGAGAACCAGGGTAGAAGTACTGGCAGAGATGGAGTTGATTGCTGGCAGGTGTGGCAGGCGGAGGAGGTGGCTGACGAGGAGCAGGTCGTTGGCTGGGCTCAGGAGCGGAGAGAGAGAGAGAGAGAGCACGGGAGGCAGGCAGAGTACAGAGAAAACCAGGGAAAAAACAGAATCACATACAAAAGAGAGAAAACCAGGACACTCACCGTCAGCCGGGCTGCCACCACAACAGAAATAACATTATTGTTATAGCCTATATGTAGCTACTGTATCAGCTTGTTCCCATTTTATATATGCTTTAGGCCATAAAAGAAAACAAAAACACAGTTGTTACTGGTTAAGTACAGTAAAGTTAACTTTAAAATGAATCCACTACCACCCATAAAACGCGGTTGAATAGAATAATCACATTTAACAAAAGCATACATTTACTGTCAAGATTTGCCTGGTTGATAGTCTCCATTGATAGTTTAAGCCTATATGGCACGTTACACACATAGACTGTATATAAAAAGGTTCCACAGCATAAATTAGCCTAGCGGCTGGCGGATTTTTCCTCTCCTCGTAGCTTAACAAATGACATGTGATTTATACTATTCCTTACTCATCGCTGGTTCAGTTACTGCATCTCCCGACACAACACCACGGGTGACATCGCGCTGATGACCAAACCGCCCTGAGCTTCTACCCATTGCAGATTTCTTCTCCATATCCATGCACTGCTTGGACGCAGACAGCCAGCCCGTCCAGCGAGCCGTGCTTCCTGAACACATATCTTGTCCGCGTCTGTCATTTGGCGGAGCAGTCTGTCAATCCCTCTATCCAGTAAATACGACTTGTGATTGGACTGTACTTCAGCAGAAAGCCAAGCATTGGCTAAGGCCCTGCCTCCAGGCTTTTTTTTTTAAGTTGCGAGGTTGTGAAGCTTCATTTTCGCTCAGTCTGATTTTCAGAGTTTCAGAGCAGAGCTGCGTGACAACTGTGTGGGCGTATCTCCGCAAAGTTGGTGTTGTAAACTCAGCTCTGAAAAAATAAGTCTGCAATAGGAGAGCAAATGTAATGTAATAAAGTTTCGCCCTTTCGAACCTCAATTTACAGAGTTTTAAAACTTTTTTTCACACATTCGCACACCGGTTTTCAGATCAGCATTTACAAGGTTGCAAACCTGGAAAACAAACTAGTACACTGGGAGAACACATACAAATTTGAAATTCTGCAAAATTGCGCAACATCGTAAAAGATTTTGCAGTTCTGAAGAAGGAAAACTCAAAAACAACATAATGTTTGCGGAGATTTCATTTTTTTAAAAACATTTTGCAAGTCTGCAAATCTTAGTTTTCGATCTTGCAAAACTTTTTTTTTGTAAGGTTTTGAGTTTTCAAACACCTAGTTTCAACCTTTCAGAACTTTATTTTCAGTTTTGATTCATGGCAGGATATTCTTCCCATACACCAGCAGTTCAGTGGGGTTTTAGGGCTGTGGGCCAGAATAAGTAATGGAATAACATTGTGTTACTGTTTCTCTATGTTTAGCCCTTTTCTTTTGAAATACTGGATACTCTTAATTCACCAACTAGTCACTTCATCCTGCATAAAGGTTTAAATCAGAATCAGAAGAATCAGAAGGAGCTTTATTGCCAAGTAATGTTTTATACATACAAGGAATTTGCTGTGGTGATAAGGTGCTACACGTAGACAAACATACAGTCAACATAAATAAATGTAGAAATATATAAATATGGAATGTAAGAACAATGTTGCAGATATATACATGTGCATTATTCTGGGTCTGTGCCGTGCAGAAATAACGCAACGGAAGAGAATATTGTGTACATATAAATATATAAACTGACAACATAAAAATATACAACAATAAAGATCAACAATCAACAACAAATATGTGCAACGTGCCAGGTCTGTGCCTGACACTAGATGAAACAGTATTTACATGTGCAGAGACATTTGTATCATTTGCAAGGGGGGAGTGTCAGTGGGGGACCCGGGCCTTGTTAATGAGGCTAGCTGCAGACGGGAACAAACGTTTTTTGTGGCGAGAGGTTTTGGTCCTGATGGACCGCAGCCTCCTGCCAGAGGGGAGAGTCTGAAACAGTTTGTGTCCGGGGTGGGAGGAGTCAGCTGCAATCTTTCCTGCTCGCCTCAGAGTCCTCGAGGCGTACAGGTCCAGAAGAGAAGGAAGATTGCAGCCAATCACCTTCTCTGCAGAGCGAATGATACGCTGCAGCCTGCCCTTGTCCCTGGCAGTGGCAGCAGAGTACCAGATGGTGATGGAGGAGGTGAGGATGGACTCAATAATGGCGGTGTAGAAGTGCACCATCATTGTCTTTGGCAGGCTGAACTTCTTGGTGAGGGAGGTGATGTTCAGCTCCTACTTGAGGTCCTGGTGTGTCTCCTACTTGAACTGGGCACCAGGAAGCGGAAGGAGTGGTGACTGGGGACTGGAGTAGTCTGACTGGGGAGTCACACAGGATGATGGGGCAAGGTGGGGCTGTGCTCTTTCTGAAGTCCACAACTATCTCCACGGTCTTCAGAGCGTTGAGCTCTAGAATGTTCTGGCTGCACCAGGTCACCAGATGGTCGATCTCCCACCTGTAGGTGGACTCATCCCCACCTGAGATGAGCGCAATGAGGGTGGTGTCATCCGCAGACTTCAGGAGCTGATGGTCCTGGAGTCAGAGACATGTTTTCCCAGCTTCACGTGCTGCTTCCTGTCCGTCAGGAAGTCAGTGATCCACCTGCAGGTGGAGTCAGACACGTTCAGCTGGGAGAGCTTGTCCTGCAGCAGGGCCGGGATGATGGTGTTAAAAGCAATGCTGAAATCCACAAACAGGATCCTGGCGTAGGTTCCTGGGGAGTCGAGATGCTGGAGGATGTAGTGATGGCCCATGTTTACTGCATCATCCACAGACCTGTTGGCTCTGTAGGCGAACTGCAGGGGGTCCAGGAGTGGGTCTGTAATGGATTTTAGGTGGGACAACACAAGGCGTTCAAAGGACTTCATAACCACAGAGGTCAGGGCGACAGGTCTGTAGTCGTTTAGTCCAGTGGTCCTTGGTTTCTTGGGGACAGGGATGATAGTGGAGGCTTTGAAGCAGGCACATGGCATGTCTCCAGTGAGGTATTAAAAATGTCTGTGAACACCGGAGACAGCTGATCAGCACAGTTCTTCAGGGTGGATGGGGAGACAGAGTCCGGCCCAGCTGCTTTGCGGGGTTTCTGCCTCCTGAAAAGACCGTTGACTTCCCTCTCTGTGATGAAGAGAGGAGGGGAGGAGGTGGAGCTGGCCAGCTCTGAGAAGGGAGGGAAAGAAGTGGTGGACTGAAGCTGAAGCTGAGCGGAGGAGTCACAGGGGATGGTGTCTGATTGACTCTCAAAGCGGCAGAAGAACTGGTTCAGCTCATTTGCC